CGCGCAGCTGGCCCCTGCAGCCCCGCCGCCGGGCGGTTCTCAGCGCGCCCACAGAGAAGGCCAGCCGGGGAGAGCTCCTCGGAAGGGCGCTTGCCCCTATTGGAAATCTTCACGGGGGAAGAGCCCACAGGATTTAAGCAATCCTGTTGTTCTGAATTTACAGAGATTCGCAGTGGAATTAGGTCTCCCTTTCTCGACCTCATTCCCCACAAACTCTGAGAAGAAAACAAAAGAAAAAGAAGGTTCATTTTGGCCCAGGGCTTTCTGCAATTTGCTCCGTTTGTTTAAAACTGCCAGGCTCTTAGATAATGGTTAATGATACACATTATACCTAGGCACCACTCGAATATCTCAGCGCTCCCACACGTGGAACTCAAAGCACTTGTAAATCCTCTAATAACAGCTCATGGGCAGGTATTTACCATCCGGTGATACTAAAGGGTCAGTCTCCCTTGGCAGCTGTCTGGCAGCAATTCCTTAGACCTACTTTTCTATTGTTTTTCCAATCAGCTGTTAAAAGCTTTGGGGATGGTTATCTTTTTCCTCTCGAACTGATAAATCAGTTGTGTGAAGTCTCCTCTCCCTTTCTCAACATCCCTGAGCAGAAAGGACAATATAAGGGTGCTCCAAAACAGAATTGGGGAAAAACAGAATTGAAAGACAGTATGAACCTCTCTGTGAACTTTTTGAAGAGACCATTAGTATGTGGAGACACGGGGCAACACAGTAGTGACAAGTTCGGGCCCTGAGAGGGTCAGAGTCTGGCTCCAACACTTACCAGCCACCGCCTTGGACAAGTCACCTCACCTCTGTTTTCTCATATGTAAAGTGGGGAGAAGAGGACCTACTGGTAGGGTTGTTGTGAAGGTTTAATTGTTACTGTATGTGAATTGCTTAGTACAGTGTCGATATATATATAGTAAGCAATTAATACATGTTGGTTATTATCTAGGATCAGAAGACTATACTTCCTCTCTGTGTGTGCCGGCTGTGACAGCCGCACTTGCCCTGGCCAGAAAAGAAGAAAAAAACCAATATCTGGATTATTTAAAGGTGACCGAACATGCTGGTTGCCTGGAACAGTTATGTTTTCTGGATGACCTGTCCTGAATCTGAGCAGGCACTTCCTAATTGAATACGCGGCTTTAGGCAAACTCTGAGGTTCATGGAAACCTCTCGGGATTATCTTGCTGAAGGGCAGGATTGTGACACCGACAAATCTCAGAATGAACCCTGGGAGCTTGGAACTAAGGGATCCAGGTCTCCTGTTTGCTAGTTGGGATTCCACAGCTGCTGGAACTGTCATAGAATCTCCATCTCTTTTGATATAGCTAAAAACTTTGAGCTAATACTTCTCCATTCCACCTGAATCCCTGAGCTATGTAACATACCACCGTGGTAAGAGTAGCTGAGTGAGATGGTGAGTCTCAGTGAGGAGAAAGCACTGTTCTTAACTATCATTCTGGCAACACCCAATCGTGTAGGCAGGGGCTAACTTGGATGTCTTCTTGAAAGTAAAACAAGGGACACCTTTCTTCATTCAGCATGGTCTGGCGAAAGCCTAGATTCGGAGCCCTTGCAAAAACATCTGGCACAGAGCTGAGGCCCTTCAGTTCTCCAGGTTTTTGCCAGCCTGTTCCTTGGATGGAAATTCCCTACTGGCTTCAGGATACTTTGCATTTTCTATGTCCAATTGATGATCTTTCCTAGACCGAGCGTGAGGGGCAGATGAGGACTTGGCCTAGAGTTAGACCATGAAAGCATTTGGGACAAGCAGATGACAACTCATATTTCCTTTCTGTCCACACTTTCTCTTCCGGAGAACTACTCACTTTAATTTTAAGAAAGACGTTCTAATGGAGTTTTTTGGTTTGGTTTTGTTTTTTCCATTAGCCACTCTCTTGATATGTGAGATAAATTCTTTTCTCCTGAAAGTAAATTTCATATTTGTTACAAAGCCTAGAGGAAGCAAGAAATTAACAAATAATAAATGATGAACACCTGTGGAAGAGAAAACTAGAAAGAAGAAACTGAAAGTAAAGAAATGAGACAAAAAGGAAAGCAGCATCTTGATGTCCTTTTGAAACTACTCTAAAACGTTCAATACCAACCTGCAGCAGGGTGGAAGGAAAAATACTGCTCTCAAGGATGCCAGGTAAAGACGATAATATAGGAGAAATAGTAAATGAAAGACACAGGCTGCAGTGTGGGCTATTCCCATGCATATAAAATAGCAACCTGCCCTGTACTGTCCAGTTGCCAAAACAACAACAACAACAACAACAAACCAAAAATCCAAAATCCAAAAAACAGCCCAACTTGATATTAGAAAGTGTTTGGGAGTGTTTTGAAATACCAGGTCGTAATTTAAGCAAGCACATTTTCACAAAGGCAAAACAGTGATGTCCTTCCAAAAGATCCTCTTGCCTTTATGTGGTGAACTAACCCAGGCCTGCCCTCTCTGTTATGATTCTCCTTAAACATCTATTGTGGAGTGAGGTGTTTTTAGAATCACAGTGGGGGAGTTCATAAAGAGGTGCCCACTTCTTAAATGGAAGGAATTCTGTTCAATCACAGACACTTCATTTCATCTGAGAAAATTTGGCCTTAAACTAGGAAGGGTCTTCCCCAGGGATCCCTGTATTCTGACTCCCAGCCCAGTTGTGCTCTTTTCTCTCAGCACTTACTGAAGACTGGGTCTGAATCTACTGAGGTGGAAGCCATCTACTGTGATTTCTTTCTTTCTTTTTTTTTTCACTGTGGCAGGAACACTTAACCTGAAATCTACCCTGTTAACAAATTTTTAAGTGCAGGACACAGTGTTGTTTACTGTAGTCACAAGGCTGTGCTCCAGATCTCTAGAACCTATTCATTTTGCATAAGTGAAATTTTATTGTCTCTGCACAGCAACTCCCCATTTTCCTCTTCCCTGGCCCCTGGCACCCACCGTTCGACTCTCCACTTCTATGAGTTTGACTATTTTAGATACCTTATGTGGAATCATGCAGTATTTGTCCTTCTGTGACTGCCTTATCTCACTTGACATAATGTCTTCCAGGTTCGTTCATCCATGTTACAGTATATGACAGGATTTCCTTCTTTTTAAGATCTAATAATATTCCATTGTATGTGTATACCACATTTTCTTTATCCACTGGGTGTGATTTCTTTCCTTTAGATTTTAGTGCCTCTCTGTATAATCTGGCATAGTTTCCCCATACTATCAGAGTCAGAACAGTAGCCAACTGGCTACTGGGTGACAAAGACACACAGAGGAGATAGGACCTTAACCAGTGCTTGTCACTAGAGCACCCAAGCAGAGTCTTGCTTGGAAAATAGACTCACTGCAAAACAAAGGGCAAGAACCCTCCTCGGGAATGGCAGGTTCTACTGAAAAACGAGGTCTACCTTCAGGTACAAAGAGCATGCCAGATAAATCCTTTTAGCCTGTAGAGTTATATTCCCACCATATTTTCCAAATAGTGCTTACCATGTGGTCTGATGCCACTATAAAGCCGGGGTCTCCAAACTTGGCTGATCTTTCACTGTTGCCCATTAGTCCTTGAGATGTTCTTGTCTCCTCCCTCTCTGACCCTCATTTCCTGACTTTTATTCACTCTCAACTCAACCCCTATTCCCTCATCTTCAACAACAAC